TCTTCATATTGTTAATATCCTTCTCTACTTCTTTAAGTCAGAATTCATGTTTACTTTAAACCTGGTGTATCTATTCTAATAATTCTGCATTAGATAATTAATGTCATCCTGCATATGCTATTTTTTCACAATTGTCTTATCCCTTCATAGATGGACATTCTGGCCTCTGAGGTCAGTTACCATCAGATGATGTCTATATCAGAGAAACACTAAATACTGTAAACTAGTAGGTAATGATCACGCCACAACAACATAGGGAGAAGCAAAAGCAGAATAAAACTTTCTTTTAGCCTATTCTCTCTCTTTTTTTTGTACTGTTTTGTCTGGGTTTTGCATCAGGTTTTATTGAAGAGTTGGGGAATGTTTGCTCATGTATTCTGGAGGAGATTATAAAAAATTCCTGGTATTTTTCATCTTAACATTTCTGTCTATTTTTAATCATAAATTTGAAATACTTGAAATTTTAGATTTCAAAAAAGATAGTAAAATATGGGGCCCTCCCTGATGGTGCAGCAGGTTAAAGCACAGCACTAAGAAGCTAAAGCCACTTCAACATGAGTCCGATTCCCCCTCCCCCCCAACCCCCCCCCCAGGGGTGACCACATGGCCCAGCAGACCTCTCCTAACACTCCTGCTGCTCCCCTCAGCAGTGTACTTCGTCAATCTGCCTGTTCTGCTTCCCACCCTGTCTATGGTGGAGCCTCTCACTGCCCCTGCACCTCTGGCCTGTACCCTAGTTCTGTATGCACAAATAAATCTTTTTTAAAAAGACAGAAAAATAGAACTGAGGAAGCCTTTTTGAATTTGGGTATCTTAAGACATTTCCACAATACAGGCAAGGTTTGACAGTCATCTTCAGCAGCTCTGGAAATTCAGACTGGTGGCTTGCATGAACAAATGGTTAGAATAATTGATAGATAGCCAATGGTGAATGGAATTATTTTCTTAATTTAGTTTTCTCTGTGTTCATGGTTTATATATAAATGCAACAGATTTTTATCATTTGATTTTATAACCTCCACTTTGCTCTATTCCTGCTGTGTTTCAAGCAGCTTTTGGGGAGCTCTTTGGGTTTCCTATATATATAGCATCATCTCTTTGGCAAACACCAATAACTTCATTTCTTCTTTTCCAATCTGAATTTTTTTATTTCCTGCTGTTGTCTGATTGCTTTAGGTAAACCTTTAATACTAAGTTAAACAGAAAAGGTAAGAGTAGTGTCTCTCACCTTTAAAAGGAAAAGCTTTTCATTTTTCAACATTAAGTATAACATTGGATATAGGTTTGGCTTCTATATGCTAAGGTGGTTTCCTTCTATGCTCATCTTGTTTGGAGTTTTTGTCATAAATGGGGCCAGGCAGGTCTTACCAAATGCTTTCTCTGCACTTACTGAATAATCATATGATTTTTTATATTTTCTCTTGTTGATGTGATATATTTACATTGCTTGACTTATCGATATTAAAATATCCTTGTGTCCCTAGGTAAATCCCAACTGATGAGTATAATTGTTATATATTTTTTAATTTGATGTGCAAGTATTTTGATGAAGATTTTTGCATCAATATTCAGATATTGTTTTAGAATTTTCTTTCCTGGTGTTATCTTTGTCCGGTTTTCATACTAGGGTAATGTTAGCATCATAAAATAAACTAGGAAACATTCTCTGCTCTTGGGAATAAACAGGTAACCTTGCCCTGTCCATGGACTCAGATTGCATGCCACGAACCTGCAACCATAAACCCCCTTTTGAGAAAGACTTCATGACTTCAGTTCTGATGCTGTGACTTTAGGAGTGGCCAGGGGGTACTCTCCAAAGTCACTGACTCTGATCATTTTAAAGATTGCATCCAAGAACCAAAATCAGGGAAGGGCAGAATAGGGCTCATCCTTCACCACCAGGCAGTGAGTGCTATCTGACTGCACTTGTGAATCACGTAGTTCACTTCACTCTGCTCAGCGTTCAGCCTTTGGATGCCCAACACAAACCAATTTCTGAGCAATTCTGCCGGTGAGTGCCCTGGTTCTGTTGATCTCACAATTACATCTAGAAACACTTAACCGTGAGACATTTCAGTGTGCTGATCACTTGGCAATGCTTTCCTCTTAACTTGGTAATCACAACTTGTGCTTTAAAAAAAAGCCTCTTTATCAGACCAGGCCCTGGACATTGTACCAAAGGGAAGAAAAGAAGCTTGGTCCTAAATTTTTGCCTTGGTAAAAATTACTGAAACAATCTGTTAGGGTCAAAGCTAATTTTCTCCACAGTGTTAGGATTGTCTGGAATCTGCCTTGATTCTCTCCCCTAAAAATTTATGCGGCCACAGTATATGAGCCATGGACCCAGCAGAAACAGATCACTGTGTTCTTGATTATTACCTAAGCCAAAGTCCAGTAACCCTCAAAGCAGCAGTTAATGGTGAAACTGAAACATAATTCCTACTCAATCTAAATCTTAGGACCTGCCCACTCAAGACATATGTACTAGGAAAGAAGGAAAGAGAGAGAGAAAAAGAAAAGCAAGAGGGAAAGAGAGACCAGACTATTTAACCACTCAGCAGTATGAATCTAGGTCCTCAAGGGCCTGAAATACCACCTGTTGACCTCTTTGAAGAGAGAAAAAATGAAACAGAGAAAAGAGTAGAATCTACTCTGAAGCTGGTCTTCAGATTCATCTGAATAAGCCTGGTAAAACACTGTATTTGTATGAGGTTGTCATTTGAGCTTTGAGGGAAGATAATCTGTTGGGAACATTTCAGGTACTGGGGAGAAATTTTGGGACTGGCTGGTTCCTTTAAGAAGTCCAGGTGGTTCAGGAGGATGAACTATTAGTCACAAGGAAGTAAGTGACCTAAAGATGAAAACATTATGAACAGACGTAAAATGAGAAACTGAGTGAGAGAAAAGAAGGCAGACACCAGGTGGAGAATATTCTGGAGGCCAGGAAATCATGGTGATGGTCCCCAGACAACAGAGAGAGGGGAAACATTCATGCCAGGCCTCTGCAGTGCCACTGTAAATGCTAGGAGTAGGTGGGATCGGGAACTCTGATGAGCCCTAGGACATTCTGGCGATGAAGAGTGTGAGCTTTTAAGCAGCCATTAAATAAATCAGTTTGGTAAAGTAAATATATTTAATTTAAACATCAAACTATTTGAGATAACTGACCTTTGGGGATTAATATGCTTTCATGATACAGACATTAGTTAATGCTTTGCTAAATGGATAGCTGTAGATTCAATAAACAGTATCATATGTTATATTCTCTATTTTAATAGAATTCAAGAGTCTGAAAACTCTTTGGGGCCTGAAAACTTGAGTTCAAGTAACCAAAACCAAGTGGTCCTTCTGAATGCAATTTCCTTCCCTGTAAAACAAGTCTTCTTTGTCCTACAACAATCTGTCTTCCTCTCAAATCTCCCACAAGAATTAAATCAAAATAAAAATACACTTTGTAAAAGTTCTGTAGAAATTTTTATATTCTACACATATATTTTTATAATATATTCCTACATTCTCTCTATATAGAATATACATCCATTTTATATATACATCTATTCTAAATATAGAATACACGTGTGTTCTAGATATGTATGATTTCTATATAGAAATTTCTAAGTTCTATGGCAATATATTACTATGTCCTGTGGTGGCTTTGCCTGAAGTTAGCAGTGCCTTTGTTCTAAGCTACCTTACATGGAAGCCACCCATGATGAAGTTGAAAGCCTTGTGCCAGTAGGAGTCAACACCAGAAGGGCCTTCCATGAAGTCTATTGAATCCCAACAACCTCTTCCTAACACAGGATGCTTCACTGATCATTCATGACACAGGTCTTAGATGAGCTGGGTGTTCAGTAAGATGACTTTGTTTCCTTTCTCGAGTGTCATAATGCTGTCCTTTGTGCAACTGCCTCTTCCAGCAAGCTTTCTAAGTGGTTCTCTGTCATAGGTGTACTGCAACTGGTTCGGCCACTAGAGGACACTGTGGTGACTGACATGTGTGATCCCTGCCCAGTCTCCTCATAACACTGCAACAAATGAGGCTGCAGAAGCCTATCAGCCCACCACACTCTTCACTGACCCAGAAGATCATTATATTTACAGAGCATCCAAACCACTTTTCCTTACAGGGCAAGCTGTGCGTTTAACACGCCCTATCAGCTCCTGCAGTCCAGAAAGTTCCTCCTGCAGGATCTCTGCTTCTTGGCTAGCCTGCTAAGCATTAAAATGTGCCCTGAAGCTAAGCTCTTCAAAATACATGATTTAAGCTTCTCTTTCAGCTAATTAGATATTGTTCTACAAATTAGACTCTTCTCTGTAAAAGATAAGCAGCAATTTATTTCCCCTGCCCTCTCCTTAAAATTAAACTGAACTGTAAAACATGGCTATTTGATTGTTTTGTCCAATCAGGAGATTATTTTGCAGAAGGAATAGAATTCATCTTCATGCTAAAGCTGAGCTTATTTAGGTACTCCTTAATGGCTGTTGTAAAGATGCTAGAAAGGCTTCATTTAGATGCCTCTCATCCTTTGGAAAGGTAGCCACTAAGCGATTTACTGCATCCTGTGATTCTGCAATCATTCTCTGGGTATCTTTAACTCAACCTGCACCTCCCCTCTGGCTGCATTAACATACCTTCACCCTTGCAGCCGGAGAGAAGGGTGTGAGTGGATATTTTTGTGGTCCCCATTTTCTGGTGAGAAAACCGATGCCCGCAGAAATCAGACCTTTTGCCTAAAACCAAACAAACAGATAAATAGAGGAGTCAGACCACAAACCCAGAATTTTGGTTTTCAGATGGCATGAAATGATCTATCACCTGATAAATCCAACATCAGTTGACAGGCAGGATGATGCAGAGTTACCACATGTGGTATGAGATCCAGTGCAGATTCCTTATAGCTCTTGATGAAGTACCACAAAGATCTCGGATCTGAAGGGTTCGTGTGCACAGTGAGAGAAAAAAAATCCTTCTGGAAACTGCCTCTTTTTCTGTGCAGGGGGCCGGGTGTTCCCTCATCCTCAAGACTGCGCCCAGCATTTGATGAATGGAGACACTCTGAGTGGGGTTTATACCATCTTCCTCAATGGAGAAGTCAGCCAGAAGTTACAGGTGTACTGCGACATGACCACCGATGGGGGTGGCTGGATTGTAAGTAAATGTGCCTCTTCTCTGTCCATGCGAACACCCTGGTCTTCTAGTTCAGCCGCTCAGCACACAGTGAAGCAACTTCAACACTGTCTGGCCATCCTTTCACCCACCCTCTACACATCTGGGGGCTCTTCACTGCTCTCAGAGTCTGTCAGCAGCCCGTCCACAGTTTGGCAAAGCAGAGGAAGGACGCCACCTATGGAGGCTGCAGTGGGTGGTCGGGTGAAGGAGCCCCAGGAAAACTGCTCCTTCTGCAGGACAGTTCATGCAGTAAAGCACAGGGACAGAGGAACCGTGGTGCAGGGAGGCCCTGCGGTCGTGGCTGCTGAGCACGAGAGCCATGCTGAAAGCGCAGTCCTCTGCGCCTGGCTTCTCTGCAGAAGGAGGGCAGCCGCTATGCAGGGTGGCCTGGACCTCTCTGTCAGAGGACGGCACCTGGGGGAGCAGCTGAAGGGCATGACGTGAAAACCACTCCAGTCTCAAAGGTTGCCACTGTCCACATCATCTCCTGGCCTCTCTGGCCTCTTCCCCAAAACCATCGCTGCCTTCAAGGGGCATCAATGGTTAGGAAGAGAGAGACACCATTTCCTGCTACCATCCCGCCCCGTGTTTGGTAGGTCGGCACAGAGGGAAAGAGAAGGCACAGCCTCCTAAATCACCTGCCTAGCACCAGAGTGTGCAGGGACAGACCCAGCAGCCAGGCCCTAAAGCTGGCTGGTGTTACTGAGTCAGTGCAGGAGGGAGGGGCTCGGGGCTCCAGCGGAAGCCCCCCAGCACAGCGAACTCACAGCTCTGGATTTTTTGCCATTCAAACTGGATGGTTTTTGAAAGGATTTAAATGGTGGCTGTGCTCATAACTGCTACACGTGGGAGATATTTTCCTTTATGTTTCTGACATATTTGTGACTCCTTCTTAAAGCGTAATTGGAAATTGGAGGCGAGGCTGATGTATTGAGGGGTTAAATGAAATTAGCACTTAAACAGCTCAGAAACAGAAAGTGAGTGATAGGCAGTAGCTCTGCCTGCGAGAAGATGATGACAGTTACTAGCTGATTTGACATTGGTCCTATTCTTCTGGTGAGAAATGCTTTCTGTTACACTCTGTGGTGCAAAAAAGATTAACTCCAGAGCCAGGCCTATTTCCCCTGACTGTTGGGGGCTGATGTGTATCTTGAATCCTTTCTACATTGCAGCGGTGCAAATTAGTGTCAGCCTCACACGCTGGCCTATTCATCAGGGACCCCTGTGCTTGCAGAAGTGCTCTGTACATCGCCTCTGAAACCGCCACGCGAATGCCACGCTCGGTCTCTACTGCAGGGCTCCTGATCTGGCCGTCTTTGTCATTGCAGATATAAAACTTGGTTATAGCAATTGTACTCATTACAGCTTATTTTCCTGAGCAGCTGCTCATTTGTTTCCCTTTCTCGTCACAGGTGTTCCAGAGGCGGCAGAACGGCCAAACTGATTTTTTCCGGAAATGGGCTGAGTACCGCGTTGGCTTTGGGAACCTGGAGGATGAGTTTTGGCTGGGTAGGGCCTCTCTCTTGCTTTCCCTGAGTGTGCTTCTGTGGCTCCTTGTCCAGGTCTTCCCTTTCTGGGTGCTTCTGGAATTATCAGAAACCCTTGGTCTGCTGAGAAGCTGACAATTCATGAATTGCTTTCAGTACCTCTTGCTCTGTTTGGCTCCACTATTGATCTTTTTTTATCTTATTGTGGTGTTTTCCTCTTTGCTCTGTCTCTTCCCATCCTCATTAATAGTCTCTTATGCTGATGGGTCTTGACAGGAGGCAACTGCAAAGCAGCTGCCTGGCATGGCGGGACCACGGAAGCGACAGGCGCTGGTCCTCCCTCAGATGCCAGGCGCCCAGCCCACCATGTGCAGCTCAGCAGAGGAGTGAGGCGGCCACTGAGCTGCTTCCTTGGAGGATTATTATTACCTGACTTGGGAAGGGCAAGGGGATAATAAAAATGGCATTAGAGGCAACTGGCAATTTCCTAGAGGTCTGATACAGGCAAGACACAGCTTTTTTTTTTTTTTTTTTTTTTTTTAATGGAAACATCGCTTTATTGGTAGGCCAGGCCACAGTGCAAAACTGCACAGAGTGGAAACATTCCTGGACACTGGAGTGTACAACAGCAGCGGACAGGTTAATACTCTTCGCCCCCATCCTCCCCATCAGCACTGTCTGCTCCAACCTCCTCATAATCCTTCTCCAGGGCGACCATGTCCTCTCTGGCCTCAGAAAACTCCCCTTCCTCCATGCCCTCCCCCAGGTACCAGTGGACAAAGGCCCGCTTGGCATACATCAGGTCAAACTTGTGGTCCAGGTGGGCCCAGGCCTCAGCGATGGCTGGTGAGAAGGTAAATACACACCAACCCAGGCAGATAGCAGAGGTGCCGATTCCAGAGAGTAGCAAACTCATTACTGCCTGCATCTCCCTCTAAGTTAGAGTTTGCCAGTGGTTTATGTAGAGGTGCACGGGGAAAAGGCAAGTAATCAGATACCATATTTGTGTTCCCTCTCTCTGCCCATCACCGTCTCATCCAGGCCTCACCATCTTGCTCCTGGATGTTCCTTCACTACCCTCTAACTGGCTTCCTGGCCCCCAGGACCATCCATTGTCCACATGATCACTAGAATAATCTTCCTCATACCCCAAATCTAAACAATGGCTAATGTCATTCGTAAAACCTTTCAGTGATGCCTCATCACCTCCAGGTGAAGGCCAAACACCTTCGTTAAGGTAAAAATCTCTCCGGATTTGACCTCTAATCTACCTGCACCCCAAGCACCTGACTCCTCTTCTCCCCTCCCCCATGCCCCATAGCAAACTCCAATGTTCAGAACCACTGCAAGAAGCACTCTCCCAGTCCCAAGTAAGCCCCTCTCCCCAACAACAACAAAAAACCCTGGCTGTTGTCTTTCTCTGCATATTCAAAGGTCCAGCTAAACACATCTGCCTCCACAGAACCAACCCTACCCATATTTTTAAATTGAAGCACCACTGGTTTACATCTTTGCTGGTGTTTTGACAGAACAGGGTTTCCCTCGTCAGTACAGTCACTGTAGCTCTCCAACCACCGAAGTACCCACAGTGCTCCACCACTGCCGACTGTGCTCTCCCTGTGTCCTGTTGCCACCCCTCACCCTCCCCCCACTCTTCTGGATGCCTCAGATCTATGGTCAGCTTTCAAGGGTTGGTTTGCAAGTTTATCTTGTCTGACCCTCTGCTTGGTTCTTCTACCTTGCACCTATATGTGAAATCACCCAGAATTTTTTTTTTTGGCTTATTTCACTTAGCAAAATCCCTTTCAGCTCTATCCACATTGCTGTAAATGACAGGACTTTGTCTTTTTGCTCCCTGAGTAGTATTCCATCGTGTATATATACCGCACTTTCTTGATCCACCCATCTGTTTTGGTGCATTTAGATTGTTTCCATATTTTGGCTATTATAAACAGTACTGCAATGCACACCGGCATGCAGCTTTCCTTTTGAATGAGTATTTCTGTATTCTTTGGGTAGATACTAGGGGTGGAATTGCTACGTCAACAGGCAGATCCAGGGGCCTCCCTGGTGACCTAGGGGTTAAGCCTCAGCACTATCACCACTAAGGCCTGAGTACACATGGCAGGCCTCTCCTGTCTCAACTGCTGCTCCCCTCAGCAGTGTATTTCAGTCAGTCTGCCTATTCTGCTCCCCACTCTGTCTCTGGTAACTCCTCTCACAACCCCCATGCCCTACACCCCAGTTCTTCCATGCCAAAAAAGAAAGGCACATCCATTTGTACCCTTTTGAGAAAGCTTCACAGTGCTTTCATATGGGCTAGACAACCCCCCCTTTTTTTCTTTTTTACCCTTTCTGGGAGAATCAGCAACTCCCTCATTTATGGCTCAGATCAGTGTCCATCTCACATTCTGTGTCTCTTGATTCTCTAAACTTCTTTCAGACTGGGACCACATCCTATTTCTTTTAACCCCATTGCCTGTTACAGTGCCTGAGATAGTAGGTACCTAAAATGTAGAGCTCAATCAATCAATTATAAGAATTACTGAATACTTTTAGATACCCAGAGCTGAGTTGGCAAATGTAGGTAATAAAAATATAAGGTATAAATCATATAAAAAGCCTGCGAGAAAAGTGAGGTGAAGAAGAAAACTCAACTTACCCTCTAGAAAAACTCAACTTACCCTCTAGGACTTTGCTGTGTGGGAGACCAGTGCAAAGCACTCAGGTCACAAGCAGACAGTGCCCATGTTCCCACACCTCAGTCACTCAGGGCCACTTTCAAACTTTTCATCATATCTGTGAAATAGCTGAATTGTCACACTCAAATTTTCTGTCTTGTTTTGCTTAATTAAATCTTTTGTTTTGTGAAAGAAACTATAGCACTGCCAAAAATGGAAAGCAAATGATCAGGTTACAAATAAAAGGAGTTTCAGGAGGAAATGCAATGAAACAAAACCACATTAATATTATTACAGGAGAATTAAAATGGTAGCAGTGCAAGCTTCCTGTTGCTACTGGTGCTAAAAATGGAGATTATAAAGTATTGGATGTTAAACCTTAGAATGAACTGAGATTGAGAGTTAAAGTTAGAATCAAGCTTCATATTTCTCCTTAATCTACTAAGAGAATCTGACTATACCATTCTCTATATGTACAAGGTTATTTAGTCCTTATTCCCAAAATAGTTGTCAAAGAGACCATCTCACACTGGGAAACACTGTGCTAGTGTGCCATCTCACACTAACCTCTGGGCTACTCATCAGAAGGAAGAGTTCAGCTTCATAGAGAAGGCAAAGAAAGGTGAGTAAGAAGAACAGAGGGAAGGAGACAAAAAAAAGAGGCAGGAATCCTGCCAACATATACATACAGAACAATGAAAAAACAGTGCAACCAGAGGAGAGGGGAGAGTCAGGAAAAGAAGAAAAGGAGGTTAGGTGGGCTGACTGGGGCAAGTGATGACAGCTGAAGTCAGGAGAGAAGCCTTGACTTAATGCCTTAAAAAATAGGGGGGCAGAGCCTCCCTGATGGTGCAAGGGGTAAAGGCTCAACATTATTAAGCTACTGCCAACCACTGTGGCATGAGTTCGATCCCCGGCCGGGGAGCTGACCCCCATGGTGCAATAGACCTCTCCTGCCTAACCCACTGCTCCCCTCAGTAATATATTTCAGTACATTTGCCTGTTCTGCCCCCCACTCTGTCTCTGGTGAATCCTCTCATCCCCCTAAACCTCTGGCCTACGCCTCAGTTCTTGTATGCATAATTAATTTAAAAAAATAAATCCTTAAATAAAAAGGAAAGGAAAGAAATAAGAAGCCCGTGAGAGCTCTCAAGTAGTTCAATACCCAGATTGGGAGTAACAGTCTGACCCACGATTTATGTTCTAAGTTGAGTTCTCTAAAAACAGAGGCCAAGTTTGGATTCTTATATAAACAAGGGGAGTGCTCTCAGTGAAGGAGAATGGGGAAGTGGGATAGGATCGGGGAAAGTCCAACACTGTAGTCCGCTTAAGAGACCAGTTCATCGTGCTCCTCAGGATGCACTGGAGCATGAATTGTTCCCCAGTGCTGGTCACCAGCGGGCAAGGGATCTGGGCTCATGTAATCTTCCCCGCAACATCGAGCACTGATGGAGGTAAGCTGCAAAGCAAGAGGAAAGGAGAATGTAAGTGACTCCTATTTGATCAAGGGAAATTATCCAAGGAGAAGACTTTGAGTTGTTAGCAGCTTCAGGCTGTGTCTACCTTCTAATGAAGGGCATCTGGGCATAGCACTAAGGATTCACTCCACCCACATATGCGCAAGTCTAGGGAATGTGGAGAGTAATTAAATAGAAAAAAATACAGCTTTCAAACCATCTTGACTTACAATCAACATGAAGCTTTAACTTTCAAGCAGGATTTGGAAGCAGAGAAATAGATGGACCCTCAGCCAATCACTTCACCCCTCTGGATTCAACCCCCTCTTCCACAGAAACTAGCTCATGTAATCTTTACATTTTCTTCCATCTCTGCCATTCTGTGATTCTAAATCATGGCAAACGGTGATAGATATCAGATGTCACAGCAAAGTCACAGGAGTCCAAGTCACAAGGCAGATAGAAATCGGGACATAGATCTTACGAACTATGCAGGGAATGGGTCAAAATCTGGGCAGGTAGATCATCCTAGGAGAGCCCCAAGACACAGCCCTCTAGGGTTAGTGAACAAGAAAATACATACAAGGTAATGTTACCAGGGAGGATCTAGGCTGCAGCTAGACTTGGGCTTAGGGGTTCATACCTACAAGGGTGTATTAGATGAAGGCCTGGGGAGGCCAAGGAGAGGATAGTGTGGTAACTGCTCAGAGAGACCAGGGAAGAAGCAGCACCTTAGCTGTAGCTGGTAGATTAGGGAGAAAGTGGGGTTGGAGACGTGTCAATCATCTCTGACCTGGTTTTGGGAGCCCCAGGGGGCTGGAGGAGAGAGAAGGTGGGGCAGTGTAATGAAAGGTACACAGAGTTCCTTTTGCAGGCTACTGACAAGCAGCATGTCTGGACCTCCTGAACCCCTAAGCTTCATCCTGAATTCCTCTGAAACGTGTTTCTGCCTCTTGTGAGCTAACACTCACACCAAAGGATCCATGCCCACATAACGCCTCTTATCACCCAACGCCATGGTTTGGAGTGCGAAAAGGGAGTGGGGACAAGAATCTTAAAGCCCAGGGTGTGTCTGCTACCAGTTCAAGACCTCATAGTACAACCCCTGAGCTGACCTGTGGTGGGAACTCCCCGGGAGCCCTGGGTCGGCCTTTCTACCATGGAAATTCCATCTGTTTGATGGATCTGGTTGGTAATGACCCAGGATGGGCTAAAGTCAAAAGGAATTCAGACACCCGCCTCACTAGCATTTTTTTTTTTTGGACACTAGAGTAGCATTTTGCCTCCCAGAGCCAAACTTCCGGAACAAGGCTCACCCTCACTCTCTCCTCACAGGGCTGGACAACATACACAAGATCACATCCCAGGGCCGCTATGAGCTGCGCGTGGACATGCGGGATGGCCAGGAGGCTGCCTTCGCCTCCTACGACAAGTTCTCCATCGAGGACAGCAGAAACCTGTACAAGCTCCGCTTAGGGGGCTACAACGGCACTGCAGGTACCTGGGCCCTGGACACACCCCACATGCAGCAGGACCGTAGGGAGATTCCCAGTCTGAGCCACACCAGGCGGTGGCTGCACCCACAGATTGGACAGTGCCTGTCACCCACACTAGTCCAGGCTGCCCCCACCCATTCACAGGACCTGAACCCAGCAGCTCGGAACTTCAGTTTCCTCATCTGCAAAATCATAATAATGATGCCTGCTCTGCTTGGCAGAGTACTGGGTGGGTGCGGGAGGGGAGTGGGTGATAAATGCAGGGAAGGTGCTTTTAAAGTAAAAAAAAAAAAAGTGTGATGTATGAGTAAAGGATTATTTTTCTTGTCTAGATTAATCAATATGTGCTCTTATCCGGTGAGAGCATAATCATCTACTGTCTGAGTAGAAATCGCCCCTCAATGACATCTAGGAAAGCCATCTTTTAACTAATGAAAATAAAACAGGTCCCCCATTGTCTGAGACGCACCCCCTCCATTCTGACGCTGTTGAGGAGTGAGCGGCCACTTAAATGGTCCTCACTGGCCACATTTCTTTTCATTTCTGCACAATCCACCTTATATGTCATTTTTCTCTTTATAGATTTTACAACATTTCAACTAAGTAGAACAATCATCTCTGTAAAGTCTGTTGCATTAATCATTTTATTGGAAGGTAATATCTCATATCCAGTCTGCTTTGGAAACTTTGCAATCTGTTTCCTGTATTCTATTTAGCACCTTTCATAAAACCTGTTTTTCCAAATACTCTACAGTTCATTCCATGGAGTTATCAGTTCTCTTATTAGCTCCATTTCTAGGGCTAAATGCTAGTGGGTAATTTTAGCAACATTTTTATACCTCTTGGAATGAAGAAGACCACCACGTTGTTGCCTTCCAATTACTGTATCTGTGCAATTATTTCTCTTCTAAGCCAGATATTGTTACTCCACAGAGAAGATATACTTTCCTTGTGTTATTATTCTTACTTGAGATCACTCAATGGCAAACCAGTCAGCCTGTTTTGCCCCGAACAAAAGATCTACTTTTCAACACGTTGGGTTTAAAATTGAAATACATTAAAATATATATCAGACTAAGTCATTTCAAAAATAACAGATACTACCCAAACCCTAAGATAAAAATTGTAGAAAAGCAGTTATTGTTTCTCTGTCAGGAAGTCAAGCAAGCCCTCCCACTTCCTTCAAGACCTGCCTTCCGGCCTGCTCGTGACCTGCCCCAAGCCTGTACTTTAATCTGGCCAGTCACTGCCACCTCTGTTGTATTTCTTTCTCACTGTCAGGCCCCTGGGAGGTCAGAACTGTTGAACTGTGTTCTTCTCTCATATGGCATGGGCAAATCCTGCCAATAATTTGGCTAATTATCATAAATTAACCACAACCTGACCCTTCATCTCAAATACTCAAGTTCATTTTTCCCAAGATCTAAACCTGGGCTTATACAGATTCTAGTTCTTTTTAAACTGGAAGGGTTTCAAGGAAGAAGGGACCATACTCCCTTTTCCTGGCTTTTAGTATTGCTCCATTGTCCCTGGCCTCTCTCTTTGGCATTTGTTCATCCTTACTGTCCAGACTGACAAGAATCTATCCCCACGGCATCCAATCCAAATGCAATGCCTTCTCCTAGTCCCATTTCAAAGGTTACAAAAATGCAAGTCTCTAATCAGGACTCTAATTGAATTACACATAGAAATTATCAATTAATATCAGTTAATTAACACATAAACTAAAGATCATATATAAAATTATCCATAAAATGTTGTTGGTCAACTCCTAAGCATTGGTAGTGCTTAAAGCACATTCAAAAGCAGCATAAATCACATCCTCTGCAAAAACTAAACATCTATTTTTAAAAGAAATAAATAGGCACCACAAAAGAAATGAGATACTCACCTCCAGTTCAGAGATAAGGTTCTGGGGGTTGAAGAAGGCTTCATGAGGGCAAAAATATTTAAACAGGATCCCAGGATAAGGCAAATATCCTGGAGAAGACAAAAGAAGATTTCCAGAAGAAAGCTTCAGAAGGAACAATCACTAAGGAAGGAACGGAGGTGTGAAGGGTCTGACAGCCCAGGGTGTGGTATGCATTCAAGTAGAAAGAGAAAAAAGATTGGAAGACCAGAAGGGTGAAACCAAACTCTGAGGGGTCTTGAAAGCAAGGAGACAGAGTTCAGTCTTCAGCTATGGTTGATCTTGAGTAGCATATTGGAAGGGGTTGGGGGGGGGCGGTGTTAGGAAGGTCAGTGTGAGAGCCAAGAGCAAGCTAAACCTGAATGAGCAGACCTGCTGTATTTAACCTGGCAAGCAATAGCAGGAGCGTTGGCTCATGTGCAGAATTAAGAGAAAGGCATAAATCTGGACAGCATGTTGAGAGAGAAAACCAAGACTGAGACAATGTACTGAATATATGAAGTACCTAGATGAGGCAGAAATAGGGAGGGGAGGCAGAGTTAGGGAGGAGATGAGGAGATAAAGACCCTATCTGAGGCAGCACAGGAAACACAGGGGTGGAAGCTGGGTGGGATTATTGCAGAGGAGTCATGAAGGCAAACTGAAGGATGAGCAGAAGACAGAGTGATAGGGATGTGGGGGAAAACAATGCAGTCAAGAAACCAATGTGAAAGAAAGGTCACTAGAGGTAGGAGCAGCCACGAATTTTAAGATAGAGCAAATTAATATGATTTAGGTTGGGAGAAAGTAAAATGCTAGTGTGTGGGGGGAGAGTATACACAAAAACATACAAATACCTGAAAAAAATACAGTATCTTTTCTGCCTTTTCCAGGCCCTGGAAGAAATGGGAAGGAGTGATTTGCATATAGTGGGATCAGCTCTAGCTGAAAAGAAAACCTGAACAAGAAAGATGAAAAGAGTGAGACAGAGACAATGACATGTTAAGTTAGGGATCCAACTAGCCTGGGGAGGTCAGGCTCCCACAATATAAATGTCCCATCATATAAGTATCATTATGGAAGGAAGCTTTAGAGGCAGCGAGTAGCCACTGTCAGTGTAGACCAATGAGAATTTTAGTCTCTCCCAGCTTAAAGCAACCCCAGAAACATCTAAGATAAGCCTCTCAGTGGCGTGAATGAACTTTAGCACCTTTGACCACAGAGCTTGCCAAAAGTATGGCCAACTGTAATGAATTAATTACAGTCTGATCAATCCCCTCAAATGCTCAGTTCATATGAACAACATCCCACTGAGAGCACCGGACTCTGCTGCTTCTAAGAGTAGAGATCTCATGGCATCTCAAGCAATCCATCCTATTTAGTAACAGCTCCAATATTTGATTAATATCTTCTCATGTGAGCCAAATTATGCCTCCTTGTGTTCTCCATTTATTGAGCCTCATAACTGCCCCAAAGAGATAATTTAGTTTTTTTTTAATAATATTTATTTATTCATGCATACAGAACAGGCCAGAGGTGCAGAGGCAGTGAGAGGTTTTACCAGAGACAGAGTGGGGAGCAGAACAGACAGACTGATGAAGTACACTGCTGAGGGGAACAACGGGTGAGACAGAGGAGGTCTGCCATGCCATGTGGATTACTTCCAGGACCAGGGGTCAAACTATCACTGAAGTGGCTGCAGCTAACTTGCAGTGCTGCATCCCATTGTGCCATCAGGGAGGGCCCATAATTTAGTTTTTTAAGTCCATATTCCATCCACTACTTGGAAACAGTATCTACCCCTTCAAGCTTGCTCTGCCCTAAGATGCAGCCTCAGTTTTCTCATCCACTTCTCTGACATGGTTACAATTTCTTCATTGTCCTTTTCTTATGAACAGGAAGTCTGGTTAACTTTGGTGTTCTTAACATGTAGACCCAAGTTCTGAAAGTGAGGTTTTGGAGTGGGATGACTGGATCTGGTAGGTCATGGAGACTTACCAGGCTGTGAGAGCACAGCAGTGGCACAGGTTAGACTCAGTCTCATGGCTCATCATGGCCTCATCCTGAGACAAAAGGAGTCATGACTGTCACGTCCTGGTGTGGACTTGGAGGAGACAGATGAGGGAAGTGGGTGACACTGAGTGGACAGAGTTCTCAAGGGAAGGTAAGGAGACCAAGAACTGTTTTGGAGAGATTACAGCCTGGGAGCAGCTGATTCCTGTGGTACAGGAAGTTAAGTGCTGAGTTCAACCAGGCTAATCAACTGGGTAGAAACAGCAGAGGTAAGTGAAATGTCCCCTAAATGGAGGCCAGGTTTGTTAAGTGTGTCAAAAGTCCAGAAAATCCTGACCAAAGAGTAACAGGTCAGAACATCTCATGAGTGGATCTTTTTTCCAGGGGACTCACTCAGCTATCACCAGGGACGCCCCTTCTCCACAGAGGACAGAGACAATGACGTTGCCGTTACCAACTGTGCCCTGTCATACAAAGGGGCGTGGTGGTATAAGAACTGCCACAGGACCAACCTAAACGGGAAGTATGGGGAGTCCAGGCACAGCCAGGTGGGTGAGCTCAGCCAAAATGTGCTTCCTTCCATTCAGAAAAGACCAGAACTTGAACTTATAGTTTCACTTTACCTTTCACGTTAAGTGCACACATGTGTCTTACCTTGTCATTTTAAATGGAGGTACTCAGAGTCTTTGGGAAGAAAGTAATGCAGACACTGGGAGCAGGGCTGAGCTGGAGTAACAGCCAGAGGAAGGAGAAGAAGCATCTGCACCAGCACTAGAACTCAACCTGAGAGGCCCTTCCTTGGCAAACCGCCAACTTCCATTCCATTTCCCCATCTGGAAGTGCCCATGAAGAAGTGCCCATCAATTTGAGGCATAGTTTCACTTGCTTACCTTCATCCTAAGTATGGTCCCAGAAGGGAGAATCAGAAATACCAGCATAAATTGAGCTATCTCTCCCCCACTGGAGACTAAAGACCATTAGCTGGATTGGATGATAGGGTGCCCAACAGGGCCAATTGGGACCACTGTTTTAGCACTAAAAGGCTGGCACCCAGAGAAACCTGGAAACCTCTTAGTTTTGGGCAAACCAGGTTGGTCAGTCACCATAGGTGGAAACCACTAGAGACCCCCAGGAGGAGTGAGCAGTCAAACACAGTGATTCCCTTCAAAATGCTTTCATTCTGCTGTAACTTTGCAATTCAACTGGGGCACAGATGCATATGACTCCATAAAGACAACACATATATAAAGCTGACAAAAAGGAATGACTTGTAACACAGTCCCAGGAAAACTCACAACTTGGGCTCTCTGCCCCCAACTCCTACTGTCCAAGCTTGTGTCCTATTGAAGAAGGAGGAGGCTCTCATTTGCTTGTCTTTCTCTGTCCCAGGGGATCAACTGGTACCACTGGAAAGGCCATGAGTTCTCCATCCCCTTTGTGGAAATGAAGATGCGTCCCTACAACCACCGTCTCACAGCCGGGAGGAAGCGGCGGTCCTTGAAGTTCTAAACCACAGGCAGCCAAGAGTCAACCAATCTTTTCTGTCATTTGTTTGTATTTTATAAGATAAAACAAGAAGTGGGGGGTAACAGTAATATGTTTTGCAACATATTGCGAGTGTTTCAAGAAAGCGGGATGCAGCAGGAATCAGCTGAGGATCAGCTGTCTTTGGTTTCTGCTGCCCCAGGGGCCTGAACCACGGTCTCCTTTCTCCCTCCTACCCCGTCATCCTAACACCCCCCTCCTTACCACCAAGGAGGAAAAGTGAAGAGTTTTCTTAACCGACCAAATCAAAGATAAGCCCTAAGTCACACAGGCATGCATTCTTTTCTCCTGCCCTCCTTCTGAGATGCCCTTCACTTCTAGGTTGTTTCTAGGCGCTGGCCACTGTCTTCAATGGCAAGGTTGAGCCTTCCACCCCAGAGATGGAGCCTTCAAGAGAGAGCTTTGCCAACACTCTCATTAAGAGGAAGCAACTCCACCCCTTCCCACAACCCAAGCCCTTTTTAAAGGGCCAGAGCCTCATCTTCTGACACTCTTGCTCTTATCAGCCTACTGTCCTCTGTTCCCATTCAGGAGTAGTGGCCTCTTATCCAGTCACCCGGCTCTTTGCCTACTTCCATCCTACTTTCGAGCCCCGACATGCCCAATACTCTTCTGGAATCTAGTTCCTACAGCACTGTCCACAGCTTGCGCTGTGTCCCTGTGGGTCCTAACTCACTGCTTGTCCCTCAAATTAGGCAAAAATAACTTTTGGGGGAAATAGGTGGGAAGGATGGTTGTGGTCTTTAACACTTTCAGGTCAGACATTGAGGAAAAGATAGATGAAGTAGAAATCAGGCAGCTGCCATTGAAATTATAGGCCCCCTAAGGAATATAGATTGTACCTCGCTCTATTTTTCTCTATTTCTAGTCCTATTTGTCATAGCTTTTTTTTACTCAGTTGCAAACTGAAGACTGCATTTCTGTCTTCATCCAGACTCTCTTTAGAGTAGGTGGCTTGAGAAGAGGCAGAAGAAGAAATTATATGACCAACTGGTCATTTCCTTCATGGATAATCCTCGGGCAGTGGAATTTGGACATCTTGGTCTTTATTTCTCTCTTTTTTGATCCTATGGGCTCAAATGGATTTTCTCCAAGAGAGCTGAAGATTCTAGAAGCCAGGAGCCTCAACTTTTCCAATTCAGCTGTCACCTGCAAGCATCCCACAGCATCTGTCGAAAATTATGCCTAGCCATCTACTCCTTTTCCTCTCCCCTTCTTCAAGGCCCTGTTCTGTCTTCTGTGAGGCCCATCTTTAGCCTAACTGGGGAATCCTTTCCCAACCAGTAATGGATGAGCCTGAGAGCTGAAATTTTCTAATGGACCTTCTACAACCTAACCAAGCTGTTACCCAAGAAGGGAAGTCCCTTGAGCTGATGATCACACCTCTGGTGTGATAAGGGTGAGGTCTTGCTGTTGGCCCTCTCCCCTTAGCAGACCTCCAAGGCCTTGTTCACTGCTGTGGTGTGGATGTGACTGACATACCCAGTGCTAAAATACAGGGGCAACATTTTCACTTCTTAATTCACTATAGGCTTTAAAATAACTAGGAGAGGGAAGAAGAAATGGAAACAATCCTTTCAAAGAATCATGTAAATTAAGTAAGAGTCAGCTAAAGAGCAGGAAACCAACCCACGACAGGAAATTCACTAAGTGAGAACTTGGGGGCTAAGGTGTAGGCTCCCCTCTGTCATTGGCTGGCTATTCCACATTTGGGAGGTTGATTTATCCCTCTGGGCCTCAGTTTCCTCAACTGTTGGATAAAAGATTGGGCTAGAATGATTTTAATTTCCCTTTCAGTTTTGACAGTCACTAAAACTAGTCTCTCTGATCTAAAAACCTGAGAAGAAATTGACATTGGCAAGAGAGCACAATTACATAATGAAAATTTGCCAGAAATCTGTAGGTAGGTAGGTAGGAGAGGAGGAAAGTAGAAAGGATGAAAGGATGGAAGGAGGAAGAGAGGAATGAAGGGAGGGAGCGAGGAAGGAAGAAAAGGCTTTTTCAGAGATCTTAAGTAGACACACACACACTGTAGACACCACACAAGAAAATAGCACATAGAAGATAATGCCAAATAAGAGACTGAACTCACCTTGTCTATAAAAGCAGAAACCAGGGACCTAGCTCATGCCACCTCATCAAGGCAACAGAAATGTGTAAAGATCATGAGTTGTCCTGTAGTCAATTCAGGTGAAAGCCAAAATCTGCCTTTTCTTGGAACCATTTTCCCTGTGGAACAGTTTTATAAATAGTATCAGCAGTTTTGCCTAGGTTCACTTTAAAGAATTTTTAAGCAAGAACGGAACTTCAAAGATTAGCTGACCCAACCTTCTATAAAAGGATTTATGGATTCCTTTTATTAGGTTGAGCAATTTTCTCACAAGTTTTCAGAGACACTGTGCTCCATTCTCTCCCCAGGGCCCAGGGTCAACTTTGCTCACTGCTTCCTGATGACCCTGTTCTTCCCAGCACATGTGCTTTTCCCAAGGCTGGCTTCAATAAGTAACACTCACACAGCACTCATCCTAAGCAAACCAAAGTTTGCTCAAAGGACTCAAAAAGAACAGAAGTGGATCCATCCAGAAACAGCTTGACAGCAGAAATATCAAAATATCTACGTTCAAAAACAAAAACAAAACCCTCTGAACCACAGCAGCAGATGCGCTACTTAAACCCATGACCCACACGGCTTCTCCTTTTTGCCTTTCCCCACCACATAAAAATTGTTTAAAACACAGTAAAGGCGCACTCTCCAGTTGTTTCTAAAAGATGGAGGAGAGGAGGGGGCCACCAAAATTTATGGAAAGCTCCATCCTTTGCCCATATTTAATTTGAGAAACTGCTAAGTATGACCCATGGGTGGCAATCAGACAGACGCCCCCCCCACCACCACCACCTCTCGTAAAATGCAGGAAACATGGTGGTTGAGAACAGTAAGTCTCTCCTGGTTACCTGAAGAACTCACGCCAACCCAGGATGCAGGAACACTGGTCTGCCCATTATATGCAGGAGATTGATTTGTTAAAAACAGCAGCAAAAATAGCAGCAAGAAAATGCACATATATTTAAGTCCCCCCACCACACACCACTCCAATATCCAGAGGAGTAAGACACCTAACACCCTGTTGCCTGGCATCTGGGAACCAGCCAGCTCCCTGCACACTAAAAACTTATTTTCAAAGACAAACATGAAGAACCAAGGTTGTGAATGAGCTCAATGCCAAACCAAACAATCCTAATTACATTTATACTTTTAAAATCCAGTCCCAGAACAGAGCTGTAGATTAAGAGACAAAAGGTCATTATGGAATCTTTTCAAAGAGCTCTTTTAAAAGCATCCATTGAGAGAGGGTTTATGAGTTCCTCTTTGTCCTTTCCTTTAAAGAAAAAAGTGGAACCAGTGGATATACCAAGGTGATGAGGGTTGTAAACAGACTAGCTGGTGACTGGGATTTGCAAATATTCCTGGGACAGGAAAATCTTATTCTTTTTTTAAACTTCCGCCCAGAATTTCAGGAAAGGTGGAACCATTTGCTAAGGATATATGCTTTTCTACGGCTCACTATTTAATCACTCAACTCCTATTCATTCTAATTCCTTATTTCATTTCTTTCCCTTCAAAGGGGGCATTCTACTTGCCTCTCATAATTCACTCCTAGAACTCAATAAAGGAGCTTCAGCAAGATTCTCATTTGAGTTGAGTTTAGCAATCTCACAGAAGGTAGGGAAATTCACCATCACACACATCACACTTGCCAGGACTTCCAAAAAGTGATCTCATAGGTCTCTGCAGTTTGGGGATTCTCTTACATAGGCCCCACTCTGCCTACCCAGCCAGGGGTGGGGGATAGATCTTCCTCCAGGTAGCAGTGACAGATTTTGTATCCCCTGAGGGGAGGGGAGTGAGCAGTAAGACTGGTACCAAGACTGTGCCTATAGCTTCCCTCTGGCCTTTGGCCATGTTCCTAAAGATCTGTGGCTAAATGTTTCCCTAACCCTTTCTTTTTCCCATAAACCCCCCCCAGACTGAGGTGATCTAGTTTGCCTCCACAATACCAGAGCATTCTAGCATCACCCGGTCAAATGAAAACTCGCAGGCCAGATGAAGTCTTCTAAAAGCAAGGAGGGAAATAAATGCCAGCATTCTCTAAGAGGGTGTGTTGGTGTGGAGACAAGTTCAGCTCGAAAGACTGGCTCGGTTCACCCTTATTACATCCACCCTGAATCTGCTTATATCACTTCTGTGTCCTTCAAGTTGAGAAACAGCTAGGGAAAAGAAAATACAAAATAAAATAAAATAGAAAACAAAAGAAATGGATGGACCACTGGGACCTGCCTTCTGCAGATAGCCCCAGATACAGAGGCCAGGAGGGTGGGAGCAGTGCTAGTTCCTTGAATTCTGGCCCCTGCACCCCATCCATTTCACCTGACAAGAAAGTGAAGCACCCGAAGCCTGTCACTGCACAGAAAGTGAGAAGGGTTGCTGAAGGGTTGCCTCACGTGCTTAGCCAATCCTGCCAGAATCTCACGTTTTTCTCACAAGCTTGATTTGACATCTCCGGCATTTCTGATGAATTTTTCAAGGTCTCCTCTTGCCCAAAGCATGACTTCATTGCACCTGCAGCACTTCATTGTCCAAATGTCCTTGGCAAACCTCATAGTTTGGGACAGTGTTGCCTTTTCTCCAAACCGGAAATCCTCCCTCCTTCACCAAGCTGAATAAGGCCACTGCAGAACATCAAAATAACACAGCTCTTGTTCCGCAGTTAAACTCAGCCCCCTGGTTAACTTAATAAAACAGCTCTTTATTGTCCTAGCTGGGGGATGAACTGATGCTAAATTTCCAATGAAAAAAAATTTAACGCTTCCCATCTCATGGGTTTGGTTCTCTCAGGTACTAGCCTTGGCTCATTAACACTATGGGCTCATATTAAAACAGTTGCAGGCATCCCAGAAAGTCTGGAATATACAAGCCACAAGACAGGATTTGGGTTCAGATCCACAGCCATAAGGCAAAGACATGAAAGAAAGTTATTTTCTTCCCATTACTGTTTAGCAACCCCCAGGAAGACTCTGCTGCTTTTTAACATCCTGGCATTGGACATGAATATACTCAACACTGCCTCCAAAGGCAAACATTGGAAATACGCCTTCAGAGCCTGAAGGGCTTGAATCACCTAACCCATCCCCCACTCAAGTAAACAGAGGCCCAGAAAGTTAGAAACTTGCTGAGATTGGGATCAGGGATGGACTTTTTACTTTTTTTCTCCAAATGAAGACTAAGAGAAAGGCTGTTGATTGCATCCAGGTGCTGTGCTAGGAGCTTTACAAATACTACTTTGTGAAACGGTCACTGCAACCCTGAGTCAACCGTGATAGAGATGAGGGAGTAGAGACACAAGATCAGTCCCAGTCATACAGCCAACTGAGCACAGCCATGACTGGAAGCTCGTATCTATTCTAAAGTCCTTGTATTTTCTTCCTCAGGAGGCTACAGACCCATCTGTTTATTTAGCCAAGTGGTCACCATCTTGGATTTTACTCATGTTCTCACTAGGGGCGTCTGATCCACTTCCTCTCTGTCTTTTAAGAATAAGGACTTCTTGTATTGTTTTTGTCATATGCTTCAGGGAGCCTTCAACTTCACCATCAGGAGTAAGAAACATCTTGGCAACTCTTTTCTTTCTTTTAATTTGCTAAGTGAGAGAGAACAGGTTGGAAGGAAAGAAAAAGCTCAGGACAAAACACTTTTTCTACCATCCACTCTTAGGGAAAAATGGAGACACCTTCTGACCCAAAGTTACAAGAGTAGTAGATTCCAGAGCTATTCTCCTCAAAGGGGAGCAGACA